TCTATTTGCAAATTTTCTACTTTTACTCACAAGCAGCGCCTCTCGCGGTATCTGGTGAAATTACATTTATAAATTGTAAAAATGCAAAAATTTGTTCCAAGTTTAATAAATTTAATATTTAATTTGAGGATTTAGTAATACAGTCTACTCTCGTTATAACGCCACTCGATATAACGCCACCCTCGCCTTACGCCGCTTTTTCGTTTTGTACCAATCGACATCAATGTATTTTTCTCGATATAACGCCACTCCCTCGCTGTTCGCCTTCCGCCGCTGATTTTTCGTATCCCAAGTAGCAAAACCCACTCGTTATAGCGCCGCTCACAACGTCCCTCACCCCCCCCCGCTCCCCTTTTCCTGTCTGCATATTTTCCGCCAGCGGCACCGGACTTTGTTTGCTGTTGACACAACAGATAACAGATTGTGTGAACAGCCAGCAGACCCTTTTCCTGCTTGTGCCTGGGACATACACAGTCGCTTCATCCTTTGCTAACGTCAACACAACAACTTTATTGTCGTATCATGAGTTCCCAAAAGCGTAAACGTGAGTCGATCACCATTGAAAAGAAGAAGGAGATATGCCAGTTGGCAAGAAATAACCCTACGATGTCGAAGAATGAGATTGGAGAGCATTTCTCACTTTCCCACAGGCATTCGCTTCACTTCTACTGCTGCAGTTAAGCCTCTTAATTATGGAAATCTGCTCGATCGCGACATCTTCGCTATTACACCAGAGAATTTGATGATTGAAAGGGAGTTTCAACTGGTTGATGATTCCCAGGAGGCGGAAATGAAGCTAACAGATGACAATTTGTTGGTGTCCACTGTTACAGCGAAAGAAGAACTTGGCGAGGACGATGATACAACAGTGACCCAGCGCCTACCATCGTTAACGGAAGCCAGAACAGCTGCTGAGACAGTTTGTTGTTTCTTGAGCACTCCAAGAGAGCAACATCTGACGACGTCAATCTATCTGCGGATTTGTTATGCCGTGTCTATGCCATAAGTGAGGGAGAGAAAACACAAGTTGTGATCACAGACTTCTTTAAGAAAATGTAATTACTTTTTTAATGAATAAATTATAAATTAATGCTTTCTATTTATCATATTAATTAATTAATTAATGCCGGTTTTACATTCTATATATTGACTTAGAGTATTAATTGTTATTAGTAGTTGTTATAAATAATTTATTGTATCTTTAAATTTCACATTTTAAACGTGTTCGATACAACGCCACCCTCGCCTTACGCCGCTTTTTTGCAAAATCCGAATGGTGGCGTTATAACGAGAATAGACTGTATAATATTCCAATGACGTTGTAAAAAAAACTTGGCATTTCAATATTAATATATATTTAAAGAAATTATCCTTTTTAAAATTTAATAAATGGTTTCAAAAAAATTATTAGTTTCAAAAATATATTTAAACGCATATAACAAAATTCATATACGTTTATAAATCTTTATATAGGTGGATTGGATGTTTTCTAGAATCGTTTTAACAAATTTTCGTTAGGCAAACTTTTTCTCGGGTAAAAACCGGGGAGCCTACTACATTCGCTAAATACAGTTATTTACAAATGTTCGTTTGTGGCAAGATACTATTCCTTCAACTTAAAATCACCGAGTGGACCAATTATTATTGATTTTATTCAACTTATCTAGTTTTTTTCAAGGGACTAGGAGAAAATTTCAAATTATCGAGAGTATAGACTATAGATTCAGTAGAGATTGGATGTTTGCTAGAATCGTTTTAACAAATGTTCGTTAGGCTAACTTTTACTCGGGTAAAAACCGGGGAGCCTACTACATTCGCTAAATACAGTTATTTACAAATGTTCGTTTGTGGCAAGATACTATTCCTTCAACTTAAAATCACCGAGTGGACCAATTATTATTGATTTTATTCAACTTATCTAGTTTTTTTCAAGGGACTAGGAGAAAATTTCAAATTATCGAGAGTATAGACTATAGATTCAGTAGAGATTGGATGTTTGCTAGAATCGTTTTAACAAATGTTCGTTAGGCTAACTTTTACTCGGGTAAAAACCGGGCGAAGCCGGGAACATTCGCTAGTTTGTCTATATAAAAAATTTATTTGTTACAAAGGTAATAGTCATTGTTAAAACCTTTCATTTTTGCGGAAAATATGTTGATTTTTGAGGCTAAGGTTTCGTTGTTGCGGAAAATATAGTAATTGTTCTGGATGAAATATCCACGTTAGAGTTAAATTAGTCATTTTTATATGAAGTTTCTTTGTTGGGGATTAGGTTATCGTTGTTGTTGACAAAATTTCATTTTTGAGAATAAAATGTCATTGTTGAATAAAACATTTCATTGTTGTTTATAAAGTAGGCATTTTTATAGTTCAAATATCATTGTTAGAGATAGATTAGTCAATATTGTGGTTATGGTTTTATTATTGAGCATAAAGTAGTCATTGCTTTGTATAAAGTGTTATTTGTGTCAATATATTGTAATTGTTGTAGGTAATGTGTCATTGTAGCGGATAAAATAGTCATTGTTGTAGATAAAACTACATTGTTGGGAATAATATATTTATTTTGGTGGGTAAAGAGTTTCATTGCTATGTGTAGAGTATCGTTTTTGTAGGTATATTTCATTGGTGTGGAGTGAATAGAAATTGTTGTGAGTAAAATTTCATTGTTGCAGATAAAATGTCATTATTGGTAAAGTTTAATTGTTGCTAATAAATCAGGGATTGATGTAGCTGAAGTTTCATTGTTGCAAATAAATCAGGGATTGATGTAGTTGGTTTGTTGTTGTTGTCGTGTCCAATGAACAGGCTCAGATGTCTCCATATATCTCTATCACAGCAGTTGCAATGTCCTCTATCTTGGGTGTGTAGAGTTGTTGCTCTGGGTCCCTGTCAATTGTCTACAAGGTCAGCCATTGTTGGGCATGAGAATATGTGGGTAGGTGTTAGTTCCACACCAGGACAGTAGTTGCATGTCCTGTAGGTTCTTGTGCCATTTGGATGTATTATCATTCCTTTGTAGTGTTTCATTCAGAGTCTTGATGTTGTTTTTGTAATTCTTCTCTCATAGTTTATTTCGCATATTTGAATTTTCCTTATCTTTTGTTGAATTATCTTGTATTTTACCAAAGCATCAGCGTCAAATACTGACATTTGTCTTTCTTTTGGCTCAACTTTCTGGCTTTCTTTGCTAATTCATCTGCCATTTCATTACTCCCAATCCCAACATGGGCAGGAATCCATTGTAGAATGCAGTTCTTCTCCAATGGTTCCAGTTGATTTAGTATCGAGTGTATTTTCTGCGTGATTTTAGTATTGCTTTTCTGAATTGCTTAAAGTGCGGATCTAGAATCACTGTATATTATAATTCATTTTGCTTGATGTGGGGATGGTTGGTTAAGGCATACATCAAGGGCTTTCCAGATAGATGTCAGTTCACAAGTGAAGTTTGATGAAAACTTTCCTGCTCCTTCTTTGACCTAGATGTATGTTCCATCTTGTAGTATTATATTAATTCCGGCCCCCTCCAATTTTCAGGGTAAGATCTAATGATTCATCTGTATAGGCTGTTAAATATAATTTCTCTGAACATATAAACTAATAGTTTCAATTCCTTTCTTTTTAAGTATGCTTTTGTTATCTTTTTATTGCAGGGTTCATTCAGATTAAGATTGATCCGTACATTTGATGGCAATGGGGTAGGAAATATTGGTTCTTCTTGTATTGGAAAGTCCTTGTGCGTATGTATGCCTTTTCTAATAATTATTGTCGTATTGAAGTGTTGAAGATCTTTTGAGTCTTTCTTTTTGTGTCCAGTTCAAATAGGTTCTATGGTATATATGAGTTCGGTTTCTCTTTACTTTTTTATGCTATTGGTGAATTTAATTGTTTTTAAATATCGTCTGTTTTCGAGGAGGTTTAGACCACATTCTCTCATATATTTTTCATTGTTGGTGAATGAAACAGCACCAGCGATTATTTTGGCCGCTTTTGCTTGAACACTGTCCAGTCTTCCTTTTAGCGATGAACTTGAGGGAACCCAGATTTCATTATTGGCCTTATTAAGGTAGTATAAGTTGTTCTAAGAGTTCTGGGTTTTGCTCCCCAATTTTTTCCACACAGTCTTTTCATCAGGAAGGGGAAATCCGACCACACCTCCTTGCAGTCTCGCTGGACCCTTGGAATACTTGACCAAATTCTGGTCCATTTCTATGGTGTCTAACGTGGCAATGGCACCCATTTTGTAATGAAGATCAAAACCGAGGTAGGTGGTTTCATTGTTGGTTATAGTGTTTGATGTGTTTAAATTTTCGTTGTTTTCGAAAAAAATGTCTTGTTGTGATTGAAATTTTATGAAAAAAAATAATTTTTGTGTTTAGAGTTTCATTGTTTGGAATATGGTTGGAATTCTAGTGGGTAAAATATCCTAGCCACGGATGAAGTAGATGTTTTTGTGTAAAAATCTCATTGTTGTGGATGAATTGTAATTTTCATTGTAAAGGTTTTCATTGATGTGGATAAGTTATTTATAGTTGTGAAACTAAAGTTTAATTGTGACGAAATGGGTTCCATTGTTGAGGATAAAGTTCCAATGTTGCGGATAAAGTTTCATTGTTGCAGATAAAGTTTTATTTATGGAGATAAAGTTGTCATTGTTGGGCTAGAATTTGTTGTTGGTTAAAATTTAATTTTTGCAGGTATATTCTCATTGATGTGGGTAAAGTTTCATTGCTGTATATTTTAATTAGTCAATTTTGTGTATAAAGATTTCATTGTAGATAAAATCAAATTTTAGGAAAATATTATTTTTTGTTTTAAAGCATCATTGTTGTATATAATGTAAATATAGCTATCTTCCAATCATCTTGGTCACGGCACCTTTTCGGATTAGAAGATTCCAAGTTCGAATCCTGGCAGGCTCGCCTTTTTAACTCCCACGTGGTATAGTAGCTCTCATCCAGGAGGCTCGGGTTCGATTCCCTGCGTGGAAATAATCAAACTTTCCGTGGTGTAGCCGTCATCATGTGTGCTTCACATGCACAATATCCCCGGTTCTATCCCGGGCTGGAAAATTTTTTTCAGCACCTTGGTACTTTGCTATAGTGCCTTGCGGCTTGTCTGCTTGCTACATTCATTATTGGGCCCGAAAACCATACACTTTGGTTAGTAGCCCGTAAAACCATATTCTCTCTATCATCCAAATTTTAATGTTAATGATAAACTAGCCATTGATGTGCATAGCTTTTTTATTGTTGTAGATTAATTTTCATTGATAGGCATAAAGTAGTTATTTTTGTAGGCAAAGCTTCATTTTTATGAATAAAATCGTCATTGTTATGAGTCAGAATTCATTGTTGTGAATAAAGTTTCAGTTCAGATAAATTATTTTTGCTATGGCTAATGTTTATTGTTGTGGATTAATAAGACATTGTTGCGAATAAAGTTTTATTTTTGCGGATAGTGTCAGTTTTGTCAGTAATTTTTATTTTCCATAGATTTCAATGCGGAAATAGTAATTATTGTTTTGGGTAAAGTCTCATGGTTGCATGTCAAGTGCCATTGTTGAAGGTAAAGATCAATTGTTGTGAAGAGTCTTTGTTGTGGTTGAGTCTTTTTTTTTTTTTTTGAAAAGATAGTCATTGTTTTGGGTATAGTCTCATATTTGTGAATAGAGTTTTTATTGTTGCTAATAAAAATTAATTGTTAATAGGTGAATTATTATTTTTATATGAAAAGTTACATTGTAAGGGTTAGAGTTGTCATTGTGTTATTTGTAAATTATTATTTTTATCTATAATATAGTTATTGTTGAGAGTAAAGTTACATTGTTGCGGATAAAATAGTCCTTGTTGTCTATAGCGTTTTAGTTTTGGGGATAAAGTAGTATTTTTCTATATAGTTTTTCTTTTTCGGAAAAAGTATTCATTGTTGTGGGTAAAAAGCCATATATGCGGGAAAAGTCTTATTTTTGTCGGTAAATTTTATTTGATGCGAAAAAGACAAAGTTGGTGATAATGTATTAATTGTTGTTGTGGAAGTGTTTCTGTTGTTGGTAACATTCCGTTGTTGTGGATAGAATTGTTATTATTGTTGGTTTACATTGTTGTGTTTGAAGATTCATTATTTGGATAAAGTTTCAATTTTGTGGTTAGATTTCATTATTGCGGATAATGTAGTCAATTCGTTTTAAAAATTCCATTCGATGTCATTTTTTAGGAGGGGGGGGGGTGAAGTTTTCTTGCTTTATATGTGAGGTAGTATATTTTTGGGTGTGTAAAATTTTATTGTTCTAGATAAATTTTCATTTTAGAGAATAAAGTGGTTATCGATGTGAATAATTTTCATTTTAACAAATAAAATAGTAATTTTTGTTGGTAAGGTTCCATTGTGGTGGATTGAATAGTCATTTTTTTTTCGAATGAAATAGGCATGATTGTGGCTAACGTTTTATTGTTGCGGATGAAGTAGTACTCTTTTTTAATTTTTCATGGGATTAAATTAGTCATTATAGTACGTCATTTTTTCTTGTTAGGGATAGAGTTGTTAATGTTGTGGTTAAATTGGATGGAATTCCATTATTGGAGATGAGGCAGACATGGTTGTTGGTTAAGTTTCATTGTCGAAGATGATGTAATTATTGTTGATGGTAAAATTGCATATATTTTTGCGAATAAATATTCCTTTTTGAGGTAAAAGTTTCATTGTTGCTAATAAGTAGGTCAATATTTTGTGAAATATTTCATTGGTGGGTTAGTCATTTTTGTAGGAAAGTCTCGTGGTTGCGATGTAGAAGACATTTTGTGCATAAGGCTTATAGTTGCAGATGAAATAGTCGTTTTTTTTTCAATTTCATTGATGCATTTAAGATAGTTATTGTTATAGAAACATTTCAATTGTGTTGAGAATAAAATTCAATTGTTTCGGATAAAGTAAATTTTGTGTAAAGTTTCAATGTTGAGGATAAATTCGTCATTGTTTTGTCTTAAATTTTATTTTTGCGAATAAAATTTGAAGTAGAGGGTCACTTAATTGTTGCAGTGGTTGTTGTGGATAAAATTTCATTTTACGGGTGGGTCATTTGGGTTTAAGGTCATTTTTGTGAATTAAGTTTCATTGTAGGACATAGAATCTGATTGTTACACATAAAATAATTATTATAGTGAGTAAAGCTTCATTGTTGTGGATAAAGCTTCATTGTTGTGGATGAAGTTCATTATTGTGATTAAAAGTTCATTGTTGGCTATAAAAATAATTGTCGTAGATAAAGTGTTTTTTGTGTTAAGTCTCATTGTTGATGGTAAGGTAGTTATTGTTGTTTATGTATTTTCATTGTTTGCGGAAAAATTGTCTTTTTTGTGGGTAAAGTTTCATTGTTTCGAATATATTATTTAGAATTATGTATAGGGTTGTGGGGTGAAAAAAAATATTGGCCGATTCCAGTAAGGCAAATTTCAAGCTTCGATTATTGCATAAATATTTTACAAATATTTTCAAATCATGTATATCCCGTAAGTCTCGATACCATTTAAAAAATAACTAATAAATGTATGTGTTTCGGTTCTATCCAAGTTTAATTCAGAAAATGACATCGCTCGATATTAAAAAAAAGAATTAAAATTATCAATATGGTAAGTTCACAACTCTACGACGTCAATGGTCAAAGCATTTTGAGTCTTCTGCACTTTCTAAATCAACCGTAACAAGAATAATTTAAAATTTTGAAATTACCGGTAGTGTGGGAGATCTCCCTAGATCAGGAAGACCACACTCTGCTACCTGTGAAACTAATATAAACCTAGTGTTAAGGTACGCGAGGTCAGATTGAAGAAACCTCCTCTTAACAAGTAAGACTTTTACCCAAAGTCTTGATATTGATTGGACTGCCTCGGGTGATCAAGCAAGAAAGAAAATAACGAAGACAAAAACCAGCGGCTACACACGTAAAGGCTCTCGCTCTACTAAGAAACTCTTTATTTAAACAACACGGCTCAGTTATATACAAAAGGGAAATTTACATAATAATAATCCATTCAAAATATATTTGACATAATAATAATTCACTTAAAAGAAATTTACATTCCAAGTCATACACTCAAAAAGATATTTACATATTCTATGTCACGACTTTTAACATACCCCCACCTTTCTTTTCTGTAAAAAGAAAAAAAATCCGTTCCACCGTGATGGGGGGATCCAGGCAGGTGGGACACCGTTGCAGGGAGCCCAGGCTCTCATCCAGGAAAACCATCCCCTCCTCGGCACACTGCGGCACCCTCTCCATACACACCACCGGAGGTTGCCCCATAAGCGTCCATCTTCCTCTTCCAAAGAAATCGGAGGTAGTCCCAATCATTTTCCTTGATGGCCATCACCTGGAAATATCTCCTCACGTCGGCCAAAACTCCGTACTTATTTTTCCGAAGTTTTATCCCTATTTCCGGGATTCTCCTCCGTAGATTGGGTCTCCTCTTCAAATATCGCCTCAAGGATAGTCCGTTGCGTCCTCGCCAGGAAGCGTCGTCAAACACTGGCCGTATAGGCGTCGTTTTGGACTCACTCTTTAACAAAAGGTGACCGGACAAATAGTGTCCTTTTACTTCAGGTAGATTTTCATCAACTCCTTCGATGAACCCATCATTCAACCAATCCATTGTATCAATAATCCCTTCCTCCATCCTTGATTCAGTACCTTGTTCTGCATCTGGGTTTTCTTCCACCCTTGAATCAGTACCCTGTTCTGCATCTATCTTTTCTTCTTCCACCTTTGAATCAGTACCCTGTTCTGCATATATCTTTTCTTCCACCGCTGAATCAGTACCTTGTTCTACATCTAGCTTTTCTTCTTCCACCTTTTAATCAGTACCCTCAGCTACTGCTCTAGAATTGCTCACCGGTTTATAACCTTTAATTGCAGTCTCAGAATCCTTTACTCCGTCGCCCCTAGGCTTCGCTTCAGAATCTTCCTTATCCTTTAAATTTGCCTCTTCATATTTTTCATTGGCATTATTTCTACCAAATTGCCCCCACCTTGAGACCCAATCCCCTGGGTTGCCCTTAAGTTTTTGTAGATCTCCCTTATTCTTTATTTTAGATTCCGTATCTCCAGTTGGTCTTGCTTCAGAATCATTTACTCCGTCGCCCTTAGGCTCATCTTCAGAATCCTTTACTCCGTCGCCCTTAGGCTCATCTTTAGGATCCTTTACTCCGTCGCCCTTAGGCTCATCTTTAGAATCCTTTACTCCGTCGCCCTTAGGCTCATCTTCAGAATCATTTACTCCGTCGCCCTTAGGCTCATCTTTAGGATCCTTTACTCCGTCGCCCTTAGGCTCATCTTTAGAATCCTTTACTCCGTCGTCCTTAGGATTCGCTTCAGATTCCTTTACTTGATCTCCTTTATCTCCGTCTTTAGAATTCACTTTATCAGGTTTTGCTTCCGCTTCATTTGCTTTGCCTTTAGCCTCAGCTTCCTTCACACCTACATAGCTATCAACTGCAGTTTCAGAATCCTTCACTTTATTGCATTTAACTGCCGCTTCTGTTTCCTTCCCTTCACCGCCTTCAACTGCTGCGTTCAATTCCTTTTCTTTAATAGCATTCACAGCACCTTTTTTGTCCTCATATTCAATATCTATTATAGAGGGAGCTGAACAAGCTTCCTTTAGCATTCTAGCTTTAGCTAGAGCAGGCTTCACATCCGTAGCTCTAGCAGTTTTTACAGAATCCTCTTTTTCCACGCCTTCAATTTCATTTTTCATGGACTCTTCCGGGCTTTTCGATAGAGACGTAGAAGTCGTCTGAAGTTTGATAACTTTCTGATTATCGGTTTCTGAATTCGGAGAGGCACTAGACGCCCCTGGTGGAATTTGAGAAGTCTTGACCTGAGCATCCCTATCCTGCTCACGCATTACGCGAATTCTAGCCTTCAAATAATATCTTTCCGTGATGTAGACTTCACAATTCTCAAATTCTTTATCAATTTCATCGTCATTAGCCTCATCTTTGGCCAATAAAATTGCCTGGCATCGTTCATTCAATGCCACCAGCTCCAAATGGAGAGATTCTAATCTATCAA